AGCATGCTTTATGCTTCAACGGGCTTCTCCTGATGAAGTGGACAAGGCCATGGGAGCGGTGAGTGCCTCCACTTGTATACTGGACCCATGTCCCTCCTGGCTGGTCTCGAGTGGGCCTTGGAGTTGATTTATTAGCAGTACCTGTGACAACTGATGTTTTACAACTGGTTTCCTGGCACCGAAATGCCTTGAGATACCCTCACCTTTTGGGAGAATGTTTATGATGATCATGTGGGACATTTCACTTTAATGTCTAATGGAAGATAGCCAGGGGAATGCGTGACCTGACAAATGCGTGCCTGACAACAGTGTGCTGACAAAACCCCGTCGATAAAACCACGACATCGACAGCACACCCACAAAGGTGCACCAACAGAAGTGCAATTGGGGTTAAGGTAAGGGTTAGGGTTAGGTTTAGGGTTCTTATGTTGTTTTCGCGTTGTTTGTTGATGGTGCGCTTTTGTTGGTGCTCTTTTGTCGGCGTGCCTATGTGGGCGCGATTTCAACATCGCGGTTTTCTCGCTGCGCTTTTGTCGCTGCGCTTTTGTCATGCGCGCATTTGTTGGTGAACCAGGGGAATGTATGTTTGTTCTGTTCTCAGGGCAGTTGGCAAAGGAAATATTTTCACACTTGTATATTGGCTAAAATCTGCATTCTAACTAATGGGAGGGGTCTCTACTGCTTTAATTCTACTCGCATTGCCTAAGGGGATTCAGACGTTGCTTTGAACTTAACAGTTTCCATTCTACTTAATAAAAGGTTCTTTTGAAATACTCAGTTTCAAGAGTTTTCACTTTCTTAAGCTAGGAGAGGAACTCTTACATAAAGCAATGTCTCTGCAAAACGGTCAACCCGGAGAAGCAATGTTTGCTCTCCTGAGGGGACCCTACAAACTATGTCCAAGTGAGCAAGGGGAAGCTGAATGCTTGAGGGAGACTCCCCCAACCAGAGGCCTGCTCCATGTACCCTGTCAGAGAGGATGAGGTGAACCCAGAGGATCCCAAAAAGGACCCACTGGTCGATTGGCACTAGGATGAAAGACGGCTGGGATGGGAAAACCAGAGGAGTCACCCTCACCCACAGTAACCAAAAACTGGGGTGGAAATTGGAGCTAGAAACCCCCTCTGACCAGGAGGAGTGAAATGAAGCCTCGCTGAGAGAGGATCGTCTGAAGCCCAGTTAGTGATGGAGATTTTGGAAAATCTCATCCGGGGGGGGTGGGGGGAGCCAGAATGGCAACAAAGAAGCATTGGAAGAGCAGCAGCTATGGATGATGCCAGGGGGGCTACCACTCTCTGGGTCCTGCTGATCAAGCAGATGGCACAGCAGCAGCAGAGAACCCAGCAAACCCTCCCCCCAGTTGGTGTGTGGATTGCGGCCCACTCCCAACCAATCCCAAAACCTGCAATTAGAAAGAAAAACTCCTTCCCTTGGGGTGAAGTTTGATGGGAACCCGAAACAGTCGGGATTCTTTGTGGCCCACGTGCTCTCCTACATGCAAGAATACGGGTGTGATTTTCAAACCCAAGGATCCCAAGTGCGAGTGGTTACCCTAGCCCTGGAAGGAGCTGCTGCCAGATGGATGATGCCAATGCGCCAGAACTGTGGGACTTCAACCGGTTCATGATGGCCCTGCAATGATGTTTTGAGGGCCCCCTTGCAGACTGCAAAGCATGTGACCGCATTAAAGTTGTGAAGCAGAGACGGCGGCCAGTGGCAGAGTATACCAAAGAATTCCAAGTGTCAGGCCTACAGCTGGTTCCTTTTAGGATCTTTGGCCTGCCATACTCTCTATTATTTTACTGTGTTTTTTCATTAGTGGGGAATTGGGAGGGTGAATAATAAGGAGCAGAATGGGTTGTCAAAATAAACAATTCCTTCCTAGAAGCCCAAGGTCATCCTTTGTCTCTACACCTCTGAGCCTCACTGGAACTGGATGGGTGGAACTGCCAGGATAGCAGTGGAAGATTGGACCATGTGATGGACTTGTGGAGGTGGGGGCAAGATCATGAACTTTCAACTGGGTGGGAAACCCAGGAAGCTCAGATTCAGATTTCCACAAATGTGCCAACATGTCTCTCTTAATAAATTGGAAGTTTGGGGAAAGTTCTGCCTTGGACTCTGATTTAATTTTGGATGATACAGTATTTGGAATGCTGACATTAACCCAAATTTCCCTTAAAATAAATCACCAGCAACCCCGGCATGGGGTGTTGGCGAAGGGTGCTGACTCCCAACACTGACCAGACCCGGTCAGCATAAAATATTAGTGAAGAATTAAGATAGAACCTTTTGAGAAAAGAAGCAAATGATGAGTCGCTTCTCTACATATCTTCCAGACTGCAAAGGAATTTGTGGGAGAGGAAATTTGAAGATTTATAGTATCTGGAAAGATGCAGCCAGAGGGGGATAGAAAGACTAATTCTACACACGGCTGGATGGGGCAAGAACAATCACCCAGTAGCCGACAAGATGATTGGAGCCTCCCAGACCAACTTGTGCAGCCAAACGTGAGTGAAAATTCCCAACTCCTTCTCTAGCAAAGGCTGCAATGGATTGGAGTAGAGATGTTTGTCCTTCCACAGAGCAACAAGTGAAATGAATCATTACCCTGCCAGCAGGAAGGGATTTGGCCAGCATCTCTCACTAGTAGACCATCAATGTTTGGGCTGCAGCCTATGAATCAAGCGCCACCAAATTGGGCTTTCTTCCCAAGTCATGGATGGGAGAGATGTCTGTAGCTGCCTGCTTTGCCACCAACATGGGTAAATCAACCCAACCAGCAGAAAGAGGCTTGGGCCATATCTTCCCCTAGCCAGCAACTGATGTTTGGGCTGCAACCTGTGAATGAAGCAACCCTGAAATTTCTTTCCAGATCATGGATGGGAGAGAAGCCAGTGGGCACCTGCTCTCCCTCAGCAGATAGCACCATGCCAGATAACTGTGCAGTGGCCAACCCAGGGATTCCCCCCCTTTCCACACTGAGTCCAATCTCACCTGAAATGCCCCAACAGGTTCTTACCCCACCTTCCAACAGAGAAATGTTCTCGACAATGGAAGAAGGGATGAATGAGGGGGAAGCTGCAGGATGGATAGAGGAACAATGTGATGAGGCGGTTCCTAAATTTAGAGATGTAACTGGGTTCCTTCCCTCATGGGGGCCAATAAAAGGCCACTGGTGCGGTCAACTTGACCACAGAGCTTCAGAGTGCCTGCTTCCAGCCCCAATATCACAAACATACACACCAACCACCAGCGTGGTAAAGAGAAGGCTCCGGATGCCACTAGAAAAGAGTCATCTGGGCCAACAACCTCAGAAAACTGACCCCCAACCTAAGGTGATGAAGAGTCCACCCAATGGGGAAACTTCAGAGGAAGAGAATAGTGTAGACGACTTGATGGTGAGTGCACCCATCTGTCCCTTTGCCTTCCAAGCCAAGTTCCAAGTACCCGAAACAGGGGTGGAAGGGGAAGTTGAAGCAGTCATGGACACCCGCTGCACTCGATGCTTAAGCAGCATGTCAATTGTAAAGCAACTGGGCATATGGACAAGACCTTGTCCCATTCTGATTGAGCAGGTAGATGGAATGCTAATTGGGGGGAGGGCACGTTAATGACCAAACTGGTAAAGTTAGAAGTAGGCTGCCACTATGAGTTTCTCAGATTCATTGTGATTCCAAAGATGCCAGAATTAATTATCTTGGGGCTTACATGGCTTGACAAGTGGATACCTATGATAAAGTGGGAAGAAGGCGGTAGGAAATTGATGATTGCATTTAGGCTGCTACCACAGGTGGAGCCAAAGGGCCACCAGGGATGATTGAACCCAAGAACCCAGAACCTGCAGCAACTGCAGCAGAGACAATACCCCTAGGTATCCAACAAGTACCAAAAAATTTGTTGGTGAATGTTTTGTCAACAGAACTGCAGTACGACAGTGAGAAGAGAGAAGTTGTTCACCTGATCCTTCCTTTCTCCCACCAAAAGGCAGTCCAGGTCATTACACAAAACCTGGATAAGCTGATGACAATGATGAAATTGGTGCTCCCAGAAAACCCAGGGCTCAACAATAACAAGGTTATCCTAATGATGAAAGATGGATTAGCCAGGAAGGGGTCCAAACTGTATGTCCCCATGTGGTTGAGGCTGGAAGTTCTACAGCGAAGCCATGAGGTGAAACTAGGAAGTCACTTTGGATTCCTGAAGATGTTCCACTTCACCAGCCATCAATTTTGGTGGCCAAAGATGAAATCAGAGGTGGAAGATTATGTAAAAAACTGTACTGCTTGCACAATGATGAAAACACTACTGGGGAAGCCCCCTGAACTACTATAATGAGTGGCCAGCCCTAGCCAACCATGGGAAGAGATTACAATGGACTTCATCATCAAACTTCCAGACAGCAGTGGGAATAGAGTAATCTGGACAGTTATTGATTTGGTTTCCAAGCCGGCACACCTCATCGCTTGCTCAGAGTTGCCATCCGCAAAGAAATTAGCAAAAATATTTGTGAAATGCATTTATCACCTGCACCAGCGATAAATGCCCAAGAGGATCATTTCAGACCGCGGAGTCCAGTTCACAGCCAAGTTCAGGAGAGAGTTCCTGAGATCTATTGGGTCCATACAAGGACTGAGCTCAGCAGTTCATTCCAGCATGAACAGCGCAGCAGAGAGGGCCAATGTGATGGTGGAACAATATATCAGGTGTTATGTGGACTATCAGCAAAACAATTGGTTGGACTTGCTACCCTTCGCCGAAGTGGCATACAACAATGTGGTCCACAGCAGCACTGGATTAACTGCTTTCCAAATTACCAGTGGCATGGAATTTGTTGCCATGCCTAAGATGCCTAGAGAACCTCCCTCCTCCATGTCTCTGAATGAATGGATACAAACATTAAAAAAAGGAAAACATGAAGAAAGCTCTAGCAGATGTGGCAGAAGCATACAAGAAACAAGCTGATAAACATTGCTCACTCCAACACACCTTTCATGTGGGGGACAAAGTTTTTGAATCTACCAAATCATAAAATTAAGAATGCATAGCAAGAAATTGGGACCAAAATTTCTAGGTCCATTCCCAATAGTGAAGATAATTAACTGAATTGCAGTTAAACTCAGTCTACCCAGAATTCTAGGGAAGATTTACCCAGTATTTTATTGTAGCTTGTTGAAGTCAGTAACTGGGTCCAGTATAAGACCATCCACCCAAGCTTTCCCTCATTCTGTAGTGATAGAGGGGTAAACAAGTTATGAGGTGGAAAGAATCGTAGACTCCAGGCTGTATTGGGGTCACTTACAGTATTTAGTGCATTGGAAGGGTTACCCATTGTCCAAAGCTACTTGGGTGAAAAGCTGGAACCTAAAAGTGGAAACGTTAGTAAAACAATTCCATGAGAAGTTTCCCGATAAGCCAAAGGGTCGCCCGGTGGGGTGGGGAAGAGGTGATTAATTCTGTTACATTAACCCCTATGTTATTCTCTTTTCAGGAAACATTTTTCTTCTGAGGAGAGGCCACCTGTCAGGCCAGCAGATGGTTCCTTTTAGGATCTTTGGCCTGCCACACTCTCTATTATTTTACTGTGCTTTTTCATTAGTGGCAAATTGGGAGGGGAAATAGTAAGGAGTAGAATGTGTTGTCAAAATAAAAAAATCCTTCCTAGAAGCCCAAGGTCATCCTTTGTCTCTACACCTCTAAGCCTGACCAGAACTGGATGGGTGGAACTGACAGTGTGGCAGTGGAAGATTGGACCATGTATTGGACTTGTGGGTGTAGGGGCAAGATCATGAACTTTCAACTGGGTGGGAAACTGGGAAGCTCAGATTTGGGTTTCCACAGATATGCCAACATGTCTCTTCTGCCTTGGACTCTGATTTAATTTTGGATGATATTTGGAATGCTGACACTGAGACTTGGTGTGTCATGTGAACTGGCCAGAGGATATCCTGGTAAGCTGGTTCAAGGATGGACTGAGTGGTGATCTCTAAATGCCTGTGTGGCCCAAGGTGCACCGAACCACCTACATGAATGGTATCTCACTGCTGAAGAGGCTGAGATAGAACAGTACAGAGTGTGGCAAGTGTGGAAGAAATTCCCACACAAAGCAAGAACCTTTCAATCTGCAAACGGCATCTTATCCAAAACCCTCAGCCTGCTTCAAGTATGAAAAGGAGGGGCACCAAGCTGCAGAATGCCATTCTCAAACACCGGCTAAGAAACCAGAGTGCACATTGGGGGGGGGGGACTACAAAACCTGGCCAGTGTGGGAAGGAGATGGCCCTGAGGAGCAGGGAGATTGTAGAATCTCCACCCCTCCCCTCTTTGAGGAGGAAACCACGGCTTCTCAGCAGGAGGAACCATACTCATTTGGAAGTGACCCAGAGGATGAACCACTGGCAAGCAAACCAATTAAACCACTTACCCTCCCCCTAAGACTGTTTATCTCCAACTGGGAGAAAAATCTCCGCTTTAGTGGACTCAGGGTGCATCTGCTATTTGATCAGCCCAACTCTGGTAAGGAAGTTGAGGATTAATGTAAGGAAGCTGAAAAGCCCCATAGCTTTTTGCCAACTGGATGAGTCAATAGCAGGGAGGATCCAGTTTTGTTTTGCCACTGAGCCTCTACAGATAGGCACCAGGAACCATGAAGAAATACTTACATTTATAGTGGTGCCTGGCATGGAATGGCAACTAGTTTTGGGCCTTGCATGGCTGAAAAAAATGAAAAAAATGGCACCCCAGAATTAATTGGAAGCAAGGCACCATAAGAGTTCAGATGCATGTGACTTTTTCTGAGAATCCACACAAAGAAACTGAGGGGGCAGAACACCAACAAACAGCAATGCCTGTTTACACTATGCCAACCCAGGGCATGCCCAAAGAGTACAAAGACTTGGCTGAGGTTTTTAGCGAAAAAGCCTCTGATGAGCTCCCCCCCCTCCGCTCCACTGACTGTGCAATAGAAATCCTACCCGGTGCCAAACTCCCTGAACCCAAGATGTATAGCATGTCACTGAGGGAGCTGGAAGAACTGAGGACATTCATTGAGAAAAATCTAGCAAAGGGGTTCATCAAGCCAGCCCAACCAAGAATCAGAGCCCCAGTGTTATTTAGAGACAAAAAGATTGCTCTAAACATCTCTGTGTGGATTTTAGAAACTTAAATATGAGCAGTATGGAGAACATGTATCCCCTCCTCCTCATGAAATACATGCTAGTACATCTTGCTAAAGGGAAAAAAATTTCAAAGCTGGATTTGTGGGAGGCTTACTACCATATAAGAATTAAAGCAGGAGATGAATGGAAAATGGCATTTAACACCCCTCTTGGATGCTACCAATTCAAAGTGCTCCAATTTGGGCTACAAGGGGCCCCTGCAGTGTTTATGCAATTAATAAATGAAGTGCTACAAGAGCATTTGTATAAGTGAGTTTTGGTTTATTTAGATGGCATTTTATTATATACTGAGACCAAAGCAGAACATGTAAAGCTAGTCCAGGCTGTTCTGAACAAACTCCACTCTATAAAACCTTATGCTAAACTCTCTAAATGTGAATTCCACCAAGAAAAAATTGATTATTTAGGGTTCCACATTTCACACCAGGGCATAGAAATGGGTCCTTTAAAAGTGCAGGTGGTACTTGATTGGGAACTACCCAGAACATGTAAATAGTTACAAAGCTTCCTGGGATTCACCAACTTTTACCACCAGTTTATACTCTCTTTCTCCCAGATTGCTCTCCCCATCACCAAGCTTTTAAAAATGAAAGGGGAGGGTAACTAGAAACCGAAGCAGCCTTTCAACTGGACAATGGAATGCCAAGATGCATTTGAAAAACTTAAACAACTGTTTTGAGCAGAGCCAATTCTAAAGCACCCAGACATAAAGAAACCATTCATCATACAAACAGATGCCAGTGATGTGACAATAGGAGTGATCCTGCTTCAGAAAAATGAGCAAGACCAATTACAACCATGCGCTTATACATCCAAAAAGTGGAATGAAACTGAGCAAAGGTGGGCCATTTGGGAGAAAGAAGCTTATGCAGTTAGGTGGGCCCTTTAACCTGGAGGCATTTCCTAGAGGGGAATAAGATCCTTTTGAAGTCTGGACAGATCATAAAAATTTAGAAGTCTTAAAGATCCCAAGGAAACTCTCCCCAAAACAAGTACTCAGTACTTTAAACAATTTGAATTTATGCTCAGATACCTCCTGGGGGAAAAAACTTTTCTGGCAGATGCATCATCCAGAAAACTGCAATACAATAGCACAAGGTCAGACATAATCAAACCCATGATATAAAACAATCAGCTAGCCACTAAAGTAATCACCAGGTCCCAGGTAAAAAAGAAACATTGACTGACAATAACACCACACAAATCTTTAAACAAGCTTTAGC